ACCCGGCGCCCGGGGGGATTCCCCACACACACCACCACAGAAGCCGGGCCCGGCTGCTGCTGCGCTTGGTGCCGGGCAGAGGTGAGAAGTGAGACGCCAGGGATGTCTGTCACAAGCTGAGGACAGCGCTTCCATGCTGGAACTGTGACAAGGGAGGATTTTCTCAAGAGGAAAAAGGTCCCTTTCCCAAACAGGGCTCAGGCTCCCAGTGCTGGACTGATTTCTTATCCCAGTGCTGCCAAGAAAACAGCAACAGGAAAAACAAAGGCAGGAAAGATGCTCCTGGCTTTGGGAGCAAACACATAGCTCCACTCCAAGCACCCAGCTGCCACCAAAACGGGGGGTTGGTGACAGCTGAGCCGGCCAGCTCGCCCCAGGGCTCCCCTCTGCCAGCCAAGGAGCCTCCGGCTCTCCCAGGCAGCCTGTCCGCCGCGGATGACACCCACGGTGGTTAGCGGTGGCACTCAGAAATGAGAAGTCCCCATCCCAAAAAGGACATTCAGTTGCTCCACTCATCGTCCTGAGTCTCTAAATTACCCAGCGTCCGCTCCAGGTTCACACCACCTCTCCACTATTCACCCTTTATCCCGTGCCTGAAGAGCCCTAACAAGCAATGCACAGTGCAGGTACACTGAGAAACGTGCTGTCAGGGAAGAGGCAGAGCAGGCACAGCCGTGGTTGACACTTGCACGGATGGAGAACGTTGTGTCAACAAGAAAGAACAGAGACAGGGGTGATCTGCAACAGCTACCATCGCTGTTACTGGGCTACAGCACGTGTGCTCCTGCACTTCACGGTATCAGAAGTAATTTCTTTGTTGTTCACTTCCCTCGTCACAGGTACACACAGAAAGTCAGGTGCTGCCACCACAGCGTGCACGCTATTTGCAAGTCAGCTGTAAAATAAATATTACTGCAGTCCTAAACAGAAGATGTATTTGGTCAACTTACTTAAAACCTCTCATGCTTTAACTCACCCGCTGTGAAAACAGCCACCAAACCTGTCCTGGCTCAAAGGGAAACGACGGCCGGGACCAAACTTGTCCCGGGCACTTTGAGCTGCACCCACCTGTGCACACCTTCTCTTTGTACGAAATACCAGCCAGAGACCCAAAAGCCAAATGCTACTCAAAATGTCAAATTATGGGTAAACAGGCAGCAAACCCAGACATTTATCTTTGTTCCGCTCCCAGTAACATGCCACTGAGGTTTATCTTTCTCACTGGATTTCTGGAAATTAAGACAAATGCAGTTCAAGCTCAAGAAAATAATCCTGAGGGGAAAGCCATGGAGAAAAATAACCATCTAAACCCACAGATAAAAGCAGCTCTTGCGGATTAATGTATCAACGCTTTTTAGCCCCTGGATTCAGCAACTGATTCTGGGCTCCAGACACCAGCACGAAGAGGCATCTCGGCCCCAAATCAGCAGGTGCTTGGGTTTGGAGCGGATGTTAGTGCTGTCTTACAGGTACATGGAGAAACGAAGCTGCTTCAGGAGCGGGTCTGAGAGCTCCCCTCAATGTGGCCATGGGGCTGCTCCAGCACATTTTGGGAACAACCACTCAAGCACCCTGCAAGAGCCATCACGATTTAGACCAGCAAGATCAATGCACGTGCTGCACTGGCAGCTGCTAATGTTTGCCTGCTCGCACCCGGACCCTCTCTGGCCCAGTCGGTGTTTCATTTTGGGCAGGACGCACCTAATGATCCTGGTGGATGGCAGCCCAAGGCTGGGCTTATCTGCCCTGGCACGCAGCAGAGCTAGCCTCCAGGTGGGCAGACGTCCTGTTTTGCACCAAGTTTGGCAGACAGTGGGATGGGATGGGGGCCAGGGAAATGGGATACACAGGGAAATGGGATAAACAGGCAAAGTTCTGTCTTACCTCAGCGATGAGGACGACGATGACGGAGTCCTCCTTCTCCTGCTGAGTGAGCTCTGAGATGAGGGAGTTGAGGGTGTCGGTGAGGTAGGAATGCACCTCCCGCTTCACGCTGGGGATTCCCATCACAACAGACACTGCCCGGGGCCAAGGAGAGATTTTAGAGAGGGGGGTGCTGGGACAAGACACTTAGCTCCACTCCCATGACTGCCTCATGGTTCACCTGCTTGGTGCCATGCTCCGTCATTAAAACCAGCAGTGATCAGCAGGTTGGCGGGTTCCTGGGCTATGTAGGGTTCCCATACTCCTGTCCCCCAGCCCAGTACCAACCAGCAGCACCCCAGTGTGCCAGGCTGGCAGGGCACCCACGGCAATCAGATAGACTCTTTCTTTTCTCCCCAAAAGACTGATGCCTAAGGAAACACCCAAAACCCCTCCCCCTCCTAGGAGCCTTTTCAGCCTGTGAATGTCAACTTCAAGACCACCCTTGTTCTCCAAACCCCTTCCGTGGCCAGAAGCATCTCAGTTGAGGAGGGATAAGTCAGGTCTTTGGCTTTGGGTTGAGATTTGGGAGCAGGAGGGAATCATCTAGTACCCAAAGTCCTACTCCAGACGGGATTTGTCCCGTAAGACTGGTTAGAGTCTCCATGAAGCACCCTGCAAACTGCGCTTTCATCTGACCACCTTCCAGGCAATGTCTAGAGCACTCTGGAGATGGAAAGCAGCAAAAAACATCTGGCAGAAGCACTGAGAACATTTTAGTGCCAGTCAAGAGCACAGACAGCACTCCCCTGTAGACTTGCAGACGTGACATGGCTTACCCACCCCGCGTGCCATGATCCCAAGGAAGCTTGCATGATGCATGCAGCCTTTCCTCCAGTCCTGCTCATCTCCGTACCACAGCCAGGCCCGGAGGAAAGGGGAGGGACAGGCACTAAGGTGAGGAAGAGCACCAGAAGCAGCACTAATTCCCATTTACCTCCAGTGCGCCCCTGTCCCACATGCACGGCTGGCTGCAGACTGTTCTCCTTTGACAGCAAATGTGGCAAATGATGGAAGATGGTGGGAAGGTGCAGCACATTCTTGTTGGTGATATTCCACAGTTTTAACTTGGTTTCGTCTTAAAAAGGAAAAGGGAATCAATTGCAAGGAATGGTAGGCAGGAAGAGACTGCAAGGCAAAAAGCCTTTTTAGAGCAGCCTGGCCACCTGAGACTACTGCTGGGTTATAAAAAATCAGGCCAACCTTTAACATGCTACCACAAACCCAATTAAAGTTCAGCAGGAGCCATGAGGGCCTTAAAGAAGTCCCAAAATATTTGGGAAGGAGGGGGGAGAATGAAGACAAAATGAAGGTCAAATTGGATCTTTCTGCAGAGATCCAAAACTGAGCAACTTAAAAAAAAAAAAAAAGAACAAATAAATTGGCGAGGGGTGCTCAGCCACCCTAACTCCTTCCTCCTCCCTCTCTCTGGATACCCATTTTCCTCATGGATTCAATACAGCCATAGGAAATGGCATGTAAAACTTGCAAGGAAAAAAAAAAGCTTGTAAGCAAGCAAATTGGCAAATATCCGCAGCCGAGGCAAATCTCAGTGTTTAATGATGCATATGCACCTCTAATTAAACAGGAGTTTAAGAGTTCCCAAGTCCCTCTGAACTCCACAATTTGCTCGTGCCAGGGGAGAGAAGAGCACGTCCTGTCCGCAGCCCTGCACACACACACACACACACGCACACCTCTCTACCTCCTCATTAGCAACAGCTTCAAAACAGCCCGAGATCCTCAACTTCTCTGTTTATTCACCAGATAAGCTGCTCCAGGTCCGGTTTATATCCCGCAGGGCCTGCTTCTCCGAGATTGCTCTCTTGATCTCCTCCAGGACCAGGTTGAGCTCCTTCGAGCGCTTCAGGCTCTCCTGTTCAGCTGCGTGGAGTCGGTCTCGGAGGGCGAGAAACTCCCGCTGGTAGATGTCCACAATGTCACCTTAAGATGGAAAAGAGAGAGAAGCTTTCTCCTCTGAGCTCTGAAGGGTTTCAAGTTGCAAAAGCAATGCCCATCACTCATACCTCCCCTACCTCCACAAGCCTTAAAACATGGATTTAGGGAGCTGTGGTCCAGCACGCACCCATTGGTTGTGTTGGAGAGAGGGCAGTTTAAGTTGCAGAACTACAATTAAAGAGCTCCTTCCATTTTTCTCTTTAACTTGGGTTTCTGGGTCATAAAGAAATACGACCTCGTTCTCTATGACCAAAGCATGCAGCAAAAAATAAGTTGCATGGTAGTTCTTCTTCACTATATACTTGGAAAAGGGGAGTCAGTTGTTGGGATTAATTTTATGAGCAATACTCTGCATCTCTCTGCAGCTCCAGAAGTTTAAGCGTATGAGATGGCAACCGCTGGAGCGAGCAGCCGGGAATCAGAGACAAGTGAAAAAGAACTGAAAGCACTGGTGGTGATGGTCTGTTAAAGCCATGACTAAACCCAAGGAATATAAACATTTTTAATTGCCTTGCTCCTTGCTTTGGTTCCCTTATGGTACACAAAGGAAAGAGTTTTAAGAGCACACGCCAAAGGGTGTTCGAGTGGGTAATTCAGGAGAACCCCTGGACAGCATCTTGAAGGCCTTCTCCAGATGGCACGGGGCATCTCCCAGATGACCCCGAGTGAGGGAAAACCGAGATGCTGGCAAGGGGTATGCCGCTCTGCAGCGAGACAAGGGCGGGCACAGCACCTCCTCCAGCTTCGGAAGAGACTCCCAAATTCTAACAGCCAAAAGGGATTTTGGCGATCTAAGCTCTCTGAAACAAGGCAGCATAAAGAATATCACGCAGCCATAGCTGCCTGCATGCTTATATAAATCCAAGCGTTTGGATACACACCTTAAGGATGCATCATAAATGTAATATATAAAAAAAGAAACTTTTGATAGGGTAATAAAGCTTTTTCTTATGAAACATCATCTTATCACCATGCCCTCTTTAAGCAATAAAACTATCAAGAGCCTTCATCTGGAACTAACCATACAATAGCTGGGAGTAGAATTGGTTAGCCATTAGTGAACTTTCCTGGGCTGTTTTTTACCCCACTATTAATGAAACTACCCATTAAAAATACACTTTTATCTGTGGTCACTCACGTGTTTTCAGTAAGGCCGTAACTCGCAGGACTACAACCAAAATAGATTTATCCACTGAATAGTAAACCCTTAGCCCAAACATGACCAGGAGAGCTAATGACCAAAAATACTGCACTGGAACTTCCCAACACAGGGCTAAATATAAATCAGAGCCGTTGAAAAAAAGATATACTGACTGCATTGACAACTTCTAATTTGGGGTCCATAAAAAAAAGAGAAAAAGGAATTTTAAAGATCAGACGTACCCAGCTCCAAAGCACAGAGTTTCCAAGACAACAGTGCTTCCCAGTCCAGCTCCCGTCAACACTTTTGCCTAGGAAAAGTTTCTCCCATGGGGTCTCTTCCCCCAAAAAAACCTTCTTAAAGACTCACTGCTTCAACACAAGGGACCCCCCCCCAAGCAGTCTGGCTCCTATTAACCTTTCAGCATTAGTTTCAAAGCCACTGGCACATGGGGAGGGAGCAGAGGAAGTTACACCCATTTGATTACTCCGTCCATCTGACAACACGTTATTCAGAGAAAGCTGAGGGACAGACATAAACAACACCAGTCCTTCCTTTTTCCTGTGCGGTGCTGCTCACTTCCCACTCCCATCAAGAAAACATTTACAAATTTGCAGAAAAACAGGTTAACACCCAGCTTCAGGAGGATGTCAGGCTTTAAATTGACTCCATGAGGAGCTAGACCTTTACCTCCTGGTAACTCTCAGACATAAGAATATACCTTTCAGCTCCCCAGTACTCTAGATTATACGTTTTCCTACTTGTATCTTTTACCAGCAGCATCTGTGAATACCAGCAAGGAGCAAGTCTCTCTCCCCATTTTTGCACGAAACGATGGCAGGAACTGTGCTTGTGCAAGGCTGGAAGCATTTGGCTCTCGGCATACCGGGGGGTTACTATCCCATGGATGCTATCAAAGCCAAATCACAGCTAAAGGCTACCATTAGATCTTGTTCTGCAATACCTGGAGCAAAGTAAAGGCAAGGCTTTGCACTTAATGGCTTTTTCCAGAGCACTGCACTTCGTTTGTGTCAGATTTAGAAGGGAAATGTCACTGATTATTCAGTCACTAATGACCTGCCCGCCGAAGCCAAGAGCTGTACTTTTCATTAGACCGCAATGGTGATGTGCAGTCAACCATTTGCTGCTTTTCTGGCTAATGGTTGGAAGTGAAATTGTATTTGTTTTCAGTGCTCTTGTCCTATGATGTCTTTGTAGGCTTTCCATTCTTTAATTAAAATTTCATGAAATTTAAAAGCTGATTGATCGTGACCGGTTCCGGTGACAGCGTCAACAGTCTGAGACAAAGCCCAAGATGGGCGTACAGTTTCCCATGAATTTCCAGTAATGCCATTTTGCACTCGTCGGTCTGCAATGACACATGGATGCAGATCTGCCATCCTCGCAAAAACCCTCAGCTGCTCAGCCAGGGAGGGCTCTGAAAAGCCACAAAGGGCAGCAGACAATAAGGGGGGGGAATTGGCTCCCATCTCTACAGGCAAGCATGGACACAGAAGTGATTTGCTGCTAATTAGGCTGAACAAATTTTTCAGCTAGTGTCAGTTCAGCACAGACCCTTTACTTACCTTTCAAAGCAGCAGCACTCCCTATCTACATATTCATTGTATTCCCTCCCAGCACAAGACAGCAGAGCTCTTAAAATATCTCCAGACTCAAGCATTGCAGGACAAAAACTCCTAGCTATAGCTATATTAAAAAAAAAGACTCAGCTTACTTTTTCTTGAGAGATAACACATTGCTTCAGGCTTAAAATACACTGGTTTAATAAAGAAAGTCGGTGTTAGGTGACTGTCTGCAGGACGGACCTGGGAGACCAAAAACCTCTCAAACTTGCAGTACTTGCCGCACACATTGTGCATGCCCAGTGCCCTGCAAATAACCCAGTTCTCACCTTGCCATGCCTAATATTTGCACTCAGCAGTCTTTCGCAAGCCATCTTTAGGAACAGAATGGCTGTAAGGCTCCAAGCGTACATTGAGCAGCTTCAAGCAAGCTCTGCAGGCCAGAGAAGGCAGCGCTGGGCACAGCTGAGCGCCGGCCGCCATCTGTCCATCCCGGCGCTCACCGGAGCAGATCTGGGGGTCGTGCATCCCTGGAGGGGGGAACAGCCTGCGGCACAGGGACAGCGTCCGTAGGAAGCGTCTGGCTGAGCATCGCTCACTGACCATCAGCTCCCCCGCTCTGCTCCCTTCTCTTGCCCCGGCTGCGCCCGGCCGCAGCTGCCAGGCTTCATGTTTTTAGCCGAGGGCCTCCAGCTGAGAACCCTGTGCTGGGTTTGCTGAGCAACGACACGAAGCACTGGCAAAGCAGCAGGCAGGGATGGCTTGAGCGGGCTCCCTTCCCGGCAGCCGGGATGCAGCGGTGTGCAGGGGACAGGCACATGCTGGTGGGGCTGACGGGCTGCTCCCCAGGAGCCTTACATGGGTTCTGCAGAGCTGATCTCCTGCAGCCTTCCCAAGGGCTTTTGTCCATCCAAGGCAGCATCCCTTTAATAAAAAGTATTTCTCCGTGATGGAGAATTCTGTGGCTTTGTTCTTATTTTAAGTGGCTATTAAGTGCAAACCACGTTTGCTAGCAGAGGTGAGGGATGGGACATCTGCGTCCACTCTGCTTATCCATTTTCAGTTTTTAGTGAAAGCAAAATACCTAATCTGATCCTGAACCAGCAGACGGGCCCAAAATCAGACCAGTGCCAATAAAACCCCCACCTTGAAATCTCACACAGTCATCCATATATATATCTATATATACAGTCAGGAATGTTATAATTCTGTATTCTGCATTAGTCTTTCAAATCGCACTCCAACCTCCCAGGGAGCCTGCGGTGCATTTTAAACATGTCCGTATTTCAGGACCAATTACTTTTGGTTTTGTGCTCAGCAGATAACCTCTCCCAGCAGAGTGGACCCATGGCCAAAGCCAGAGACTTCCCTCCAATTCAATCTTTTCAAAAGCAAAGGCAAGGTCTTTGCTAGCTGGATTTGCTTCTCATTAGGAAGACTTTCAAGAGACTTTGTTTAAAAACTAAAAACAACCCCCAAACCTCTAAACCATTTATCTTTATAAAATCTTGGCTTCAAGAGCACAACTGCCCCTTTTGACCAGTCTGCTGCAAGAGTTCCCAGGGCCAAAAGAGCCAAAAAAAAGTGCAGTCCCCAGGTCACAACGCAAATGGAGTTGGAGCAGAAAACTAAACTGCCTGCAGAAAATTTCTCTGCAATGACTATTCTCCATTTTATTTAAAGCACCCCTTTAATTAATAACCATCTAGGACTTGCAAGGGCCTAGGGGAACTCCAGAGCACACAAACAACCCCCTCCCCATGCCACAGCATCTATGCTATCCGAAAACGGAGCCGGTGAAGCACGGGGAACCACAAGGCATCCCACCCCAGCTCGCCACCGTGCCCGTCCCAGCCAGGCACCCGCGCTGCCCACGCCTGGCTTCGTCCCCAGCCATTTACAGGCGCTCTCGGAGTTAGATGATGATTAGGGGTTTTATTTTTTTAATTTTGATGTTTAATGATTTATATAATGCTGGCACCACTCCACACATTACACTCTAGATTGCCCTGATTGAATCGCAACATTCATTAGGTATTTTGCTAACAGAATTTCACCAGACCATTAAAAGGGATATAAGGACTTACGCGGTATCAGTGAATTAAATTCAGCTCCTGAGATGTGAAAAAGGTTAGTCCTGCTTTACATGGAAATCTGATGGCCAGTGTAGCACACAGATGTTAGACACTTTGCACACAGGTACACAGGGATCAGCAGTAACTCTACAATAAACATTTTATACCATTAAAAGCAAAATATTGCCCTTTGCTTAGTTGGCAATAGAAGGAAGAGACCAGCTTTAGAGACTCACCATAAACAAAGCCCCAAAGCATCCCCCGAAAAGCCACAGGGAAGCGACTCGGCTGGGGTACATGGAGCTACAGGTAAGTTGTGACAGTAAAAATATTGTCTTAAGTAGCAGAAAGAAAAAGAGCGGACAGTTCAGCATCCAAAATACCCCCAAAAGTATCCCTTGCCAGGCAGGATGAAGATTCAGCAGGTCTTTTCCTGCAAATCAAAAGAAACACTAACCACGCTCCTGTAAGATGAGCAAGATAAGAGAGACATCCTCTCCCCTTCCATGGGCCAGCGGACCATTGTTCCCAGTCTTAGACTCATCTTTTAAAATCATAAATATTTTGGCAGCTCAGGATATACGCAGCCACTGAAAACTTGGTTTGCCTTAAGGAACTGAGCACCAAGACATGGCGAGCAACAAATCAAACACAGTCAAGGCCAGATTTCAGGGAGCGGACGTTATCTAGCACGGTGGACATCCCAAAAGGCTCCAGCAGTTGCAACTACCCTGCTGGGGGCTGGTTCGTCCCCGTGGAAAGAAAGAGCATTTCAGCAGTGCCATCGCCACACAGCAAACACGGATGCTTTATTCAGCAAGCACTGTGCAACATTTACAGCTCTACTGTGTCCCAAACCACCTGGATACTGAGCCAAAACAGACATTTTCTAGTCGCGGCGTATAAAAATACACCTCAAGTTTCTTTATTATAAGTTTCTTTAAACTTTTTTTTTAAAGAAAAAAAGTTTTTAAAGGAGAAAGGTTTTAAAGGAAAAAAGCTTTTAAAGAAACTTTTTCAAGTTTCTTTATTATATTATAATTTGTGGTTAACACCAAGACAGAAAGTAACATGGAAAGTAGAGTCCTTAGTACCGCTAGGAAGTTCATTATTATTGGGGAAATAGCTGTAGGTGTGGAGAGCGGCAGGCAGGGCAGGGAACAGAGAGGGAAGGAGGTGGCACGTGGGTTTCCCAGCTCAAAGCAAAGGGGCTGTGTTACAACGGTGCTTGCACTGGCACTGATGGGGCAAGCCCCATCGCAGTCATAGAACCATAGAATGGTTTGGGTTGGAAGGGACCTTAAAGATCACCTTGTTCCAACCCCCCTGCCATGGGCAGGAATACTTCCCACTAGATCAGGTTGCTCAAAGCCTCATCCAATCTGGCCTTGAACGCTTCCAGGGAAGAGGCATAATGGGCACGGGCAGCCAAAGCAGTCATCAAAAATAGCACCTATGGTTTAGTTCCTTATGTTCATCCTCTGCTCTTTATTTACACTTTGTTTCAGTTCAGTCACTACCTACAGAGTGTGCTGTCCTGAATCGGAGCCGAATAGTGTATTTCGATGCCACCACCACCCCAAGGCACGCCTCAGTGCCACTGCTATGCCCCAACTTAAGAGCCTGTGCTCAAGCACCATCCTGACTGCAGGCAGCACCGTGCTGCAGCATCAGGGTCTCTGGCACGTTACAAAAACCAGCACCCAACCTCCCTACCCAGTAAAAGGTGCTGGCTGCCCGGGTGGGCGATGGCAGCAAGAGGGATCCTTTGCAGTCAGCACCCACCCAGCCGCTCAGCCCAGCGCCACAGAGGCTCTCGTGCTGCCCCCAGGTTGGCGGCTGGGTTTGAGCATCCCACTACACCACCATCATGCTGAGCTAACACATCAGCCAGTGCAAGAGGCTTATTAAAAGTCAGCCTGTCTGAAAAAATGACCCTCAAATAAAGAAAGCGCTTCCACCGGCTGCAATCTGGTGTGTGTGTGTGTGTGGTTTTTTAATATAGCCATTTAATAAGAGCCTGTGGTATATTTAACAGCATTTCAACCTTCAACAGCTCTGCGTAATGAGATAGAAATGCAATGCATCTCTCCACTGACAGTCTCTACCCAGGGAACATGGGCACCCTTAAGTCACTATTTCTTATTTTTGCAGCAGTAGGTTTTGATCATATTCCTGTTGCACGTCTCTTCACTGGAGTTTAATGTTGTCTCAGCACATACGTCCTCAGAAGGAGAGAGGAAAATACATATCCCCTGTGTCTTATTATTCCAAAGCAGGAGCAACTGTTTGCATTTGAGATCCAGTTCAGACAACATTCACACAGATCCTTCAAAAAACAAGCTTTTTTTTGCTTTTAAAGTCCTAAGTAGTAAGTTTTCAGGGATGGGGATGAGTATATTTCCCATTATGGGGATGGTGAACCACAGCACGGATGGTGAACATTATAATTCCCCTTCCAAGGAGGAGAGCAAGTCACAGGGGTGCCTGCACCCAGACCAAAGAAGCTTCCCAGGGAGCTGCAGGAGGGATGCAGGCTCCAAAGCAAGGTTGTAGAAACTCAGAAATTAGGAAAGCAAACAGTGATGCCTACCACCTATGCCTAAAATGTCTTGGATCAGGGCAGAGAAGGCAGCAGAAGCCGTCAGACCGCTCTCGGGTACCTGCAGAGCAGGTTTGGGATCTCTTTCTGCAGCCCTGCTCCATGGGTGAACCACACTGAAGAACACAAAGAGCTCCAAGTTCACCGTGAATCCCCTGGGTTTTACCGTGCTGCAAACAAAAGCACTGGTGGGCAAGGAAATCCCCGGTAGGTATAAACCACCAGCAGCTTCTGCAAAAGGAACTAGTCCTTCTGATTTTTCCTGGGGTTTTGTCAACGCATTCAAGGGATTTAACGAGACTGAGAATCAGATGGCAATTCATTTTGCTGCAAAACAGCTAAGGAGAAGGAAGAGGGCAAATACTGTCATTGATCTAAAGAGAAAGAAGACAGAATTAAATAGTGAATATTCATCACAGCAAAAGGTTAACAATCAAAAGGAAGGCATACAGATTGGTATTAAACCCACCGTCTAATAGATTTAGTGAGGATCTGGAGAAGGATATGAAGTAGTCAAATACAGAACTGACACGGAGATAAGTTCGTCAAAGCCAGAAAAGAAGCAAAGGACCAGGAGAAAAGGCAACAAAATGGCAAATTAACGCCAAAGCTGATAGATGCAAATTAATTGTGGGGGAATCAAGTTATTTTTCACATGGTTCTTAGTTAACAATATTAACTAGGAAGGAGACCGGAGCATCAGAGTGTCTTCTCTGCAGGCAGCAGCAATCCAGGGAAAAAAGGGGGAATGGAGAGGCAGGCAAACAAGATGTTAGTCTGCTTAGTGAACGGGATGGGGAATAACGGTATGAAGATTATAACATTATTAAAATGATGCTGCCTAATCCCAGAATAGTTTTCACCTCATCTGAAAAAGAGTATTATTACAGACTTAAAAGGGCTTTAGAAGAGGATGATGAGAATGATCAAAGGCCTGAAAAAAAACCCCTGCTCTGTAAGGAAAGAAAAAAAAAAAGAGATTATTCATCTTAGGACTCATGATGAAAAGCATATAAAATAGTGATATAATGAAAATATATCACAGACTTCCATTCTCCTTGTCTCAAAATATAGGAGTAAGTAACCATTCAATTCATATATTAATTTGAAACTGATAAAAAGGAATGTGTTGCACAGAGAAAGTATATTATTTCTCTGAATTCACTGCATGGAAAAACACTGAAACGAGGAACTTAAACAGCGCAGAAGAGCTGGAAGGTGCTGCAAGCACAGAGTCACCATGAGATGGGGCTGAGACCAAGATGGGGTAAATAACCACCCTGACGGCGGTCCCTGCCTCGTCCAGGTTGGCAGTCGCTTCTTCCCTTGTTATTTGGGAGAAAGACCCCAAATTTCTGTGTCTCTCCTCACAACTTAATTAGGAACACTGCAGCATTCTTCTTCAAAGCGAAGCCAATTCATTAGCAATCTAATTATTTACCTGTGTAGTACAAATACAGCTTTCGAAGCATTTTCTCTCAAATGGAAAGCGAGGGCTTTGTTCTTGGTGGGTTTTTTAATACTCTTTATTTGATTGGGGAATAAAAACATGCTGAAAGTGAAAAAAATAAAGCATTACAGAAATCATGGGTCATTAAACCTCGAAATAATTGCAGCTCTACAGGATTTTTAAGGGAGGACATCACACAGGCAAATCTGGGCAAGGGGTGGAAAGAAAGGGGGAGAAGGGGGAATGAGAAAGGCTGGGAATTTATAGACATGGTCAGTCCTGACCGAGCAAACCTGTGTGTGGCTTAAAAGAAGGTACCTTTACCTAATGCACCATCCTTCCATGGCATGGGGCAGGGAAAACGCTCTTGGATGCACCTTAGGGCAGTGGCAACAGACTCGCAGCAGAAAGCGTGTTGCTCTCCTGTATTGAAAATGCACTTGCGGGAATGTGCAGCAGCCTCGTCCGTGTATCGTCGGGGTCCAGGTACATGGGTCTTGGCGCTGGCCATGCCATCGGTTGTTTTACTTGTCACTTGTGGCCATCAGCTTCGCGCTGGCTTGCAAACCATCACACACAATAAAAACCTAAACCAGATTTGCCTGGCTCTCACCACTTGCAAACCTCCAGACTGGATTTCTTTCTCTTTCGCCTTGTTCTCACAACGAGTACCGAAGCTAGTGAGTAAAATCTCATGAACCGAAACAACCCTGGAGAAACAACTGATGTCTGGAGCGTGCAGGACTGCATTCCTGTGGGTGCTGGTAAGGCCCAACTCTAGAGCTTTAAAGAAGCAGAAAATCCTGAAGCAGAGCAAACGTCTCACAATCTAACAGGAAACCCCTTATTACAACCTAATTATGTTAATAGTGAAACTGAGGCCTGGTTGCACCAAACCCCAAAGCACCCATGCATCCCGCTCTGTGCCTACTGTTAACGGTTCGCAAGTCCATCCGAAAGGAATCCCTCCAAGAAGGGAAGCTGATCTTTGCAAAGGTCACTGTGTTATCATCACGCCCTTTCTCTAGCAGCAGCGGTTGCTAATTGCCTGTGAAGGAGTCGAAATGAAATTCTTGTTAATCCTCCTCCCAACATTACAAAAATCCAACATCATCATCATCCCCCCCACAAATGACCATGAGCCACCGGCACTTGGCAGCTGATGGATGAGAGCTCAGCTCATCTCGGGAGCAATGTGGCAGCAGCGGGTGGAAAAAGCAGTTCCACTTTGCAGATTGAAGGAGAGCTTATTGATTAGCAGGAATAAGCACCGGGACGTTGTATTTCCCCACCTCCTCGTACGATCGACCATCGCACTCGTCATCCCACTAAAGTTACCACCAGACTCAGAACAGCCGAAATCCTGGAACAGGGGAAATTTGTTTAATCAATAACATATGAAGCTTTTGGCACGGCTGAGTGTATGAAAGAATTTGACAACAGCAAAATAAAGTATTGCTGTGTTATAAATCAGAGAACACATATGGAAAAGTTAGAGCGACGTACTAAGTCAAAGGGATATCAAGGAAATCACAGAAGTTCTGGCTGGAGTCCCTGGCTCCGCTGATGTTAATAGCTGACAACTTCAATGCAAGTCAGGTTTGACTTCTTTTTCCAAAAGAGTAACTCATTTGCAATGCATGCAACTGTATTAGAGTGAAAGAATATTTAGAGCGCTCCCTTCGCTCCACTGTCTATGTAAATTGTACATCTTGTCTACCTACAAATCCGCAGCAGCAAACAGATTACAATTTCCCTATTGTACGAACGCCCGATCGGATGCGTGACTCTGTTGGTGGGTAGAGGCAGATTTTTAAACCTCCACGTACTGATCATGGGATGAGCTGATCTGAATTGCATTTTGTTTTAGTAGTCTTAAATAATTTGCAGAATTCCTAAAATAAAATGCACACAGAACCTTTTAAAAATTACTCAGCATTAATATTTGAAATATTTATCCCCCAGGGTGCAGGCTTGTAACATGAGCACTTAATGGGGTACATTTTCTTCTCTCCAGAGAAAAAACAAGACATTGCCATTAAATAGCACACTTAGACCAACTATAAGTGTTGATGCTATCTGAGGGCTCGTTTCATTTTATATGCTAGGGTAATTCTTGGGAAGAAAGAAATTCTACCACTAAAAGAGCAGGAAGACCCGCTTCTCCCTTTTCTCATTCAGCAGCCAAGAAAACATGAAAAAGGGTTATCAAATAATGCTGACACCCTCCCCCACAAAACCACACCAGCCAGCTTTAGAGTGCAAAAAAACCCCCTTATTTCTTTCCCTTGCAGAAAACACATCACCGAAGTGCAAAAAGATGGAGTTCCCGACTTGCCAGCAACAGCAACCTGTGGTAATTTAACTTTTCTCTATTTGAAAAGGCAGGGACTAAGGCAGAGCTAGGAGGCCCTCATTCCACACCCGACAACAGCTCGGCCGCGGAGCTGCCTGCCAGCCCCACGCCAGCAGCAGCAGCGTTATTCCAGCAGATGCCTGCAGCAAGGCAACACAGCTGCTGGCGACGGCACAGCACAAGGTGGGGGCTGCGGGACACTTCAAGGGTAGAAAATAAACAGCTGGGGGAGGAGGAGGAGGATGCTGACTACGCGGGCGTCCTACTGCTAAGACCTTTGGCTGCTTATTAAATGATGCCTGAAAGCTTCTCAAGAAGCCGCTGCTCTGAAATGTTACTGGCATCTCCCTCTCACCCGTGCCGAGCTCTGGGCAGGGCGTCACAAGTGGCTGTCGGCGATCTCAAGCCAGGCAGGCCTGAATTTCAGCCAGACCATCCTGCGGACTGAGCCGGTGCTGCAATGGAAGCACATGGGAACTAGGATGCCCTTTTGGACAACAGCCCAAACGGAGAGCAGTTTAAATGGCTTGTGAAACCACATCCTTAGAAGTTTTGCTTTCTTGCAATGTCAGGTTTACCTAATGGCTTAAAGACAATGCACTGAGCCTTATAGCATGCTGCTTACCACCTCCAAAACCAGGTACGCTTCCCGTAGCCCAGAACCACAAGACCATGGTATTTATGCTTAATTTCATGACTATTCCTAAAGTGCTGTTCAGTCCTGGCAGAGGACACTTCACGCTCCCTGCGAGTGGATGCGCTGTTCATGCCTCTCATTTCCTTAGAACACGTCTATTTAAATGCATTCGGGGTTTCGGTATTTCACACACCGTTACCTTTACTGGTGGCATATATAAGGTAACGCTAATTGCTATGTGAGCTGCTGTGGCTCAGTTTTCCAGACTTTCCACCCAGAGGGAAGCTATGTTACAGAAAGATTCAATCTGGCATACTGAGGTGCTGCAAGGAGAAGGCAGGATGGACGGGCAGCCTGCCGAAAGGAGAAGAGCTGCCGTCTCCTCGCCGGAACCCACCAGCTGCACCCAGCAAACAGCGTCAGAGCCCACAGAGAGAGTTTTTCCACGACAAAACAGTTGTATCTTATGCAGCCCAGAAAGCACCAGCGCAGCCATACGTCCTCACAGGAGCACGCACAGGACGACGCTGAACTGGGCTGCCTGGAGAGCAAAGCGCCACAGCATCCAGCCACGGCTCCCCTGGCAGCGCCCCGCTGTCCCCAGCCGCTCCTCAGGAATCAATCCATCAGTCTGGTTTATACCAGGAGAGAAGGATTTGCTGAGATGCTCAAACCAAGAGCCCAGACATTTGGGGAAGACAGAGCTCTGGAGGGGCCACGGCTGCTCGGCAAAGGCACAGGAGAGAGAGGGGCTTTGCACAAGATGAACCCCAAGCACAGCTGAGCAAAGCCACAGCTCGTTCTGAGGGAGTTAAACTGCACAGAATCACGGCAAACTACACCAGTGGGAAGGACAGAATGCAGGGCCTGACCCCGCTCGCTGTGGTCCGGCTGTCCCAGGGGTGCCAAGAGGTCAAAACCCAGTGAAAATCCCACTGCGGGGGAGCGAGGCTCGGCACGGCACGAGGAAAACAAGCAGCATGACTCACCCCGATGGAAACTGCCTTTAAAACTTGCAGCACGAGTATTTAGAGCTCAATTCGAGAGCCTGTTCCCCTGTATAAAGAGGTTTACTGTTGGACTGCAGTGCCCAGGGAGGTCGTTTCTGTACTCGGGTGCTTTAGGTACCCCCGACGCATCCGAACACCGCTTTGGAAATGGTCTCTCGCTGGCCACCCAGGCTGCTCAGCACCTCTTCTGGTCCTAAAAGCTGTCATTTGAGCACATGAAGAAATGTTTAGTGATCAGTTCATCCTTTGGAGTGCCTTTATGAAACATCCATAAAGCAAATCACCCTGGGTGAGTCCTCTGTTAATAACTTCCCCTCGTACCCAGCTTCCCAAAGCTTCCCGTACATAGATCAGCTTCGTTACCCAGGATCACCGCTGTGTGTAGCTGTGAAAAAACTAATCCAATTTTCTTCTTCTTTAGGGATAAAACATCAAGAGAGGACAGTCCGTCTGTCAAATACAGTAGCAAGGTGGAAGAAGTGGAGGCAGAGCTGTGTCATCATCTCCAGCAAACCCATGTCTGAACAGGAGCAATGCAGACAGGTGAGCCCCAACTCTGTCCCCGGCTGGGAGGAGTGGTTCAAGATACGCAGCCTATTTTGAGGAACTCATTATTTAGTTTTATGACCATGCAAAAAAACCCAAAATGTATAACCTATAAGATCATGACTCCGTATATCGGTATTTATGACTACGAAGATACTTGCAGAAGACTCCCACAGACATGTCCAAAGCCTGGTGACAGCAGGGGCATTCTGACAGCCTTATAAATCAGTGCACTGGAAGAAGTATATTAAATTTTCCATAACAAACCAGAGTAAGCCCTGTTAGTGCAAAGATACCAAAGGGATCCTGGACGCTGTCAGTGTGAGTTGGGTTTTTATTAACCCTACGTCGGTGCAGCCCCAAGCAGAGCCACCTGGTGCTCTGCACCACCTCGCCGGTGCTGTGGGGTTTGCCTGGGTGCATGTCCTTGGGGACCACCCAGAAGTGGCCAAACCACTTCAAAAGCCAACCCGGGGTCAGGATGCCACAGAGCGCTGCTTCGGCATCGCTGTGCCTCAGCGACGTCCCCTCTCAGGACTGAAACACACCCGCTGCCAAACCACCTGCGGGGTCCCTGCAGCGCTGGCACCCCTCATTTGCACCCCGGCCAGCGCACATTGATTGTAGCTAATTCTCTGTACATGTTTTCCCGAGGATAAGCACAGCAGCTCTGTGTCTATGTGTGGCACATCAGATTTTGGAGGGAGTGGCGTTTCTACACCCCTTTCCCAGCACAGATTTGGAAGGCGTTGGGCAGGCGGCCGTGCAAGCACCTAGGAACAGGCAGGACCTGAGTGCTAAACCAGCCTTGCACACCTGCAAAGCCAAATAAATTCTTGACTTTAACATCAGACAGTAGACTATAAAATGAAGCTATAAGAGCATATCACTGCACATGAAGGGAAATTCATTCTGCTGCTAATGCCCATAAGTTCCCTACTGAGAGTAATGGTTATCAGCAG